ATTGATACATGAAAAACATGTAAAAATTGATAAATATTCTCAATTAATATTTATAAAATTAATTGATAATCATATTTGTTTAAACAATTTATTGTTTGACATAAATCAGAAAATTATACAAATACTATAAAATAAAGTTAATTTATTAATTTATTAATTCAGCAATTGTTTAAACAAATAATTGTTATTTACTAACTTTTTACACAATCAACCTAGAAACTAGCAGTTTTTTCTAATTTTGCAATAAGTAAATTCTCAGATTAGTTAATTGCAAAATTTAAAAAGACTACAAGTGTCTAGACGCTTTATTGTCTCAAGAATTAATAAATAACAACAATTTTTTGTTTAAACAAATGCTGAATTGTTAAAATTATAAATTATCTTCATATTTCACTACTCAAGTGTAATAATCGCGAAGTTAGATAAAAAACTGCAAATTTTTAAGTAATTTGTTACAAAAGTTAATAAAACAGCAAAATTTATTTATTTATTTAAACAGATACAGACTGCAATATAATTATCATTAGTAAAATATATTTCTAATTTCGTTCGCTGATTTTAAGTTTCGTTTAAGTTGGTGCTAAACACTAAGAGATATTGCAATTCGAATGTGGGCTGACCCACCCAGGTCCAACCCAGGACCTACCTGGGCTTCCTAGTTTCATTAGCAAAAATTTCTAAGTCCAAGTCTAAAAAAATTTTTGCAACAAAAAATTAATGCTTAAAATGATTTAGAATAATGAAAAACGTGTTTTTAACATAAATTTTTTTGACATTTTTTTAAAAAGTGGATCACCCGCTTAATTAATTAGGAAAAATTTCCAAGTCCAAAAGACGAATATTTTTTTAGACCAAGAAATTAATATGTTAAAAATGATTGAGAACAATGAAAAACCTGTTTTTAACGAAAATGTATAGATATTTTTTTTCTTGATATAATATAAAAATATTAATTTTTGAATTTTTATATTTGGATATTATTTTATTATTATTGTTGTTGTTAAACTATTTTTTTATTTATTATTGTGTATTAGTGTCAATAATTACTATATTGAATCATCAAAAGCAAGTCCACAAGTCACTGACAATAAAAATTTTGATCTCAACTAGTTTCATTAGCATAGTGGTTAGGGCGTTAGTCTCGTAGTCCGTAGGTCGTAGGTTCGATTCCCGCGTGCGTTAGATTTTATTTACTTCTTAGGTTTGCGTTTATTCCGATTTTTCTGCATTGTATTCGTATAAGTATGCAATTTAATGATTATATATACTGTAAAATAATTTAATTAACAAATTTCTAATTTTTTTATAATTTTTAATGTATATATTAGAGGAATATATATTAATCTCTACATATACTAACATTATTTATGAATTCGCTTTTGGTCATCACTTAATTGAAAAAAATTATAATTAATTAAAACTAATACTTATTATTAATAATTTAGGTTATTTCTTTAACAAATATTATTAACTAATTAAAATTATAATGAAATAGAAAATACGGTCTGAGATGGTCCTTTCTAGGTCCTAAAATGGACCCATAAACTGGTCCTAACTAGGCTCCCAAGTTAGGACCAGGCTAGAATCGCATCACCACCCATTGTTGGTCCAACCTACACTGCCAACCTAGGACCAAGCTATTAACAGGGCAAAATAGGTAGGACCTGGCTAGGACCAATTTTCATTTTCCACACGGGTAACAACAAAATAAACTTTTTTTTAAAAAATACCTCTAGTTTTTGTACGCCGAACTTTTAAAGAAATGGACTCTTTTTCTTAGAGGCCGCAATTACTTATAAGTTATAAATAATTTAAATTTTAAGCAAAAATAATGAATATCTAAATAAATATCAGATTACTTGTCTGTTTATAAAATAAATATTTACTTGAATCAAACAATTTTTATTTAAATCAAGTAAATTGTATATTTGAACCAATAATTTTAGTATTTGAAGCAAACTCTAAATTTGAATTAGTAAAGGTTTTTACTAATTCAAATTAGTGACTGACTTTTTGCTTTTGAATTAGTAAATTTTACTACTAAATAGTAATTTCTGCTGATTCTTTGGTAAAAATGTCATAAATATGTAATTACATATTTATTAATATTGAAAACAATTGCATTTAAAAAAATTATAATGAAAAAAATTCAAATAATTTCTTTTTTAAAAAACATTTTAATATCATTTTTGAGAAGTTAATTTTTATTAATTTTCATTATTAAATTTTAATTTTAAAGATTTGTCATTAAAATTTTTCGAGAATCAAATCATTTGCAAAATTTGCTATGCAAAAATTCATCAAAATTAAATTTTTCAAAATATTTTTTGAATACAAGAATTTCTAATAAAATTTGGAAAAAATTTAATTATTTTAAAACTTTTTAATTATATATTTCAAAAATTTAATGATCTGAAAAAAATTATTCAAAAATAAATTTCCAATAGATTTGACAGTTTGACAGTCTTCTTGTTCTTAAAAAAATTTTCACTTTTTGCGTTAACGAAAACATTGGTAATTATTTCAGTTTCATATAAAAAAAAATCGAAAAAATTTGCAAACATTCAATTATTTTTATGTTTTAAAATAAATTCTTCGCAGGAACTTTATTATTTTTATTTTTTTTTTTCAATAAAATTCTTCCGAGGAGTTCAATTATTTTTATCATTTTTATTATAAAATTCTTCGTAAGAATTCATTTATTTTCAAAACAATTTTAATAAAATTTCTCGAAAGAATTTCAATTATTTTTAAAACCTTTATAAAATTATTCAGAATTCAATTTTAGTAAAATTTCTCGACAGAATTAAATTATTTTCTTTGCAATTTTATAACTAAATTCCTCAAAAGAATTTAATTATTTTTACAAAATTTCCATAAAATAATACAAAAGAATTCAATTATTTTTAAATAATTTTAATAAAATTCGATGTTAAAGATAAATTATCTCTGATTCCCAGTTGTAAAAAGTTACAAAAATTAAAAAAAGTTATAAAAAATGTTAGATTTTTAAATAGAAAAAATTTCCCAACGCAAAATTGTGTAAAAGAAATTTATTTCCAAATGTTTTTGCAATAATATTATCGTAAATCTTATTCTTTAAATTTGAATTAGTAAAAATTTTAACTAATTAGACCAAAAAGGAAATGAAATTGCTAAAAATTAATGTTTTATCTCTACACAGAATAAGACAGAAAAATGAATAAAATTAATCTGATCGCCTTCTTTATGTTTTGTGATAATTTAAATTATCATAAAATTTTTCAATAAAAAGTTAATTATTTACAAAAATCCTCATAAAATCCTGCGCAAGAATTCAATTATTTTTACAAGTAGGAAAATTTCTCACAAAAATTCGAGGAATTTGATTAAAATTGTATCAAAAATAAGTGAAATTCTGCCAAGAATTTTATTAAAAGTTTTGAAAATAATTGAATTTTGGAGAAAAATGTTATTATTTATAAAGATAATTGAAATGTTCACGAAAACACGAGAATTTTTTTTTTTTTTTTTTTTTTTTCACGAGAATTTTTGTAAAATTTAAACATAATTTGATTTCTGGGAAGAATTTTTTTAGAATTTTTCTAAAATAATTGAATTTCGGAAAAGAATTTTATTATTTATAAAGAAACTTGAAATTTAGATAAGAATTTTTTTTTTTAATTTTTGAACACAATTGAATTTCTGCGAAGAATTTTATTACTTTTGAAAATAATTTAATTCTTTAAACGAATTTTATTCGAGTTTGGAAAAATAACTGAATTTCTGTGAAGAATTTTATTATTTTGTTTTAAATAATTGAATTCTTGCGACGAATTTTATAAAAATCTTTTTGAATAATTCATATTTTTCGAAAGATTTTATGAAATTTTGTATTTTAAATAATTGAATTAGTGTGAAAATTTTATTACTTTAAAATAATTGAATTATTTCGAAGAAATTTATTTATAATTTTTAAAAATAATTGAATTTCGAAGAAGAATTTTATTATTTATTAAAATAATTGAAATTTTGACGAGAATTTTCGTTTTATTTTTTAACATAATTGAAATTTAGCGAAAAATTTCTGAATCATTTGTAACTTTTCCAAAATTCAATTTTTTTTTTAGTATTTTTAACTGAAATTCTTCTATCAATCTAGTATTTATGAAAATTGTAAAAATTATTCATTAAATAATTTATAATTCATAATTTCATGATAGTTCTTGAAAAATTAAGTTAGTTAAAAAGAAATTATTGTCAGAAATAGAAAAAGTTGAAGGTTTTGTATTAAAATTCTTTGCATTTTCATAGTTTATGAGGCAATTCAACTAATTCAAATTTAGAAAATATTTATTCGTTTTTTCCTAAATTTTTTTATAAATTAATAGAAAATAACGTATCTGCAACGAAAGTATAAATAAATTGATTTTTAAAATCTCTGTTTTAAAACTGTTCCATTAGTAACATTTTTAAAAGAAATAAGTGTAAATAGTAACTTATTCTTAAAAATAGTAGCTAAACAGTTGCATGAGGTGAAAATAGTGCCAAAAAGGCCTAAAAACCTCAATGTTATCACCTCTATATTACATAAATAAACAAAAATATTATACCCATCGAAAACTTGCACGGTAGTTAGTATATAGAATATTTGAGAACGTAAAATTTTATGTCCTCAACATTTTGAACGTCCAAATGAACAAAATTTATTCACTTATTTAAAAATTCGATTTTAGTTATATAATAATATTAAAATATTTCGTCAATGTATTGAAAACTAATTTATAAACTTCCTAAATGTTTAATTTACACAATTTACTACTTTTACTATTTTTATAACTTATTATACTTTTAATAAAAGTATAGTAACTTTTAATAAAAGTGTAATAACTTTTAATAACTTATTTATTTTCTCCATTTGGACGTTCAGAATTTTTGCAACAAAATTTTAGTCTCTAATTATCGAAAAATAGTCACTTGAAAATAGAATTGCGAATTAATAAAGTTTTTTCTATTTTCAGTTGCTAAAAATTCAGGACATTAAACCGGCAATTCATCTGGACAATCGATACCGTCTCATGAGAGGTGAACAGATGCTGGATGCACTTGGTAATCCAACTGATGAAATCGGAGAAGATGAAACTCGTGGTGAACCATTCGAAGTGGAGCGGATAGATCACGATTAAACATTACACCGAAGTTAATATCCAAAAAGGAGAATAGTAATTTTCGTCAAAATTTCTCTCTTTCAAAAAATTAATTTTAACAAAATTTATATTTAATCTCTGCTCTCGAAAAAAATTGTACTATTTACTATTTCTCAAAAGAGGAAAAAGAGAAGAAAATTCGCAATAAACTAATTTAAAATAAAATGAATTTTTTTATTGTTTTCATGTTTGTGACTTTTAGGTGAACGATCGAGTTATTTCCAGGAAACTTTTATTTTCAGTTGCTCGCCTTACTGTGAAGGTGATCGGAGTTGAAAATTGTATATGGTGTGTATATATATACGATGATAAAAACCACTCTACTTATCGTTTTCTTTTTTCAATGAGAAGGGTCAAGCGGGTACGACTGTGAGTCTGGAAACGAGACAACTTCAAGGCCAACAATCCGTTTACCTCGTTTAATTTTTACTTCTCTTTCTTTCTTTCTTTCGTTTCTCTTTTTTTTTTGTTCTTTATACTCACAAGAATCGCCTCTACTTTTCGCTTTACGGTCCATTTCTTTCTTCCTCCTTCTCCTCAAGATCCACGTATATTTTCTTCTTTTGCTTACGAAATCTATTATTTTAACTTTACTGCCTCTAAACGTACAACTTTCAATTTTACCGTCTCTCTTAATTAAAACAATACTAAAATAAAAACAAAAAATAAAATAAAATTACGTCGGTTAAGTTCATAGCGCTTATGATCAAGGACTATGCGAAAAGAAAGAAAAATCCCAGGCGAAAACAATTGAAAAATTTTCTTTCAAAAATCGTTGAGAAAATATTTTTTTTGTAAAGAAATATAAATTAATTAAATTTCATTTACGCTTTTTATTACTAATTTTTTAAAATATTTATTTCGTTACTACAAAAATTTGATTCTAATTTTTCCTGACTTTTCAATGATTTTCCAGACAAAATTTTGACACTAAAAAATCTTTAAATATAAATTTTTATTCTGAACCCTAAAGAATATTTTCATTAACTTTAAAACTAATTAGATACACAAAAAATGTTTGTAATACGTTTATTTTTGAATATCCTTAATTCTAAAATTATTCAGAACATCAACAGTTTTTTTAAAATAAATATTTAATCATTATTATATTTTCACTGGAATTAAGATTTTAAAAAATTTCAAATTTCAAATCCTTTGAAATTCAATAATTTTCTAGAAATTTTAACTAAAATTTGTTTCTAATTCAATTATTTAAAAAAAAAAAATTTTGACATCATTCCTGAAAAATTCAATTATTTACTTGTTTTCAATTCAATTTCATGAAATTTCAATGAATTGAGAATTTTTCAATTAAATTAAAAAAATTTTAAGAGCTAACATTTTTGATAACTTTTGGTAATTTTTGTAACTTTTTATAATTTTAAATATGAAATAATTTAATTTTTAAAAAGAATTTTATTTAAATTTTTGAAAATAATTTAATTTTTACAAAGATTTTTATGTAAATTTCTGAAAATAATTTAATTAATTTGAAATATGTAATGGAAATTTTGTGAAAATATTTCAATTCTTTTGAGGAATTCAATTAAAATTTTAAAAGAAAACAATTCAATTTATTATGAAGCATTTTATATAAATAATTGAATTCTTTTAAGAAATTTTATTAAAATTATGTTAAAAATAATTGAATTCTCGCGAAGAATTTAAAAAAAAAAAAAAATATTTGAATTGTTTCAAACAATTTTATTAAAAAAAAAAAAAAATTACTGAATTCCCGCGAAGCATTTTATTGAAAAAATAAAAATAATTGAATTCCTTCAATCAATTTTATTAAAAAAAATTAAAATAACTGAATTCCCGCGAAGAATTTTATTGAAAAAATAAAAATAATTTAATTCCTACGAAGAATTTTATAAAAAAAATAAAAATAATTGAATTCCTACGAAGAATTTTATAAAAAAAAATAAAAATAATTGAATTCCTACGAAGAATTTTATTAAAAAAATTAAAATAATTGAATTTTGAAGAATTTTTTCTACGAATTTAATTGAAATTGAATTGAAAATATAATTTAATTCTCATATACAATTTTATTAAATTTCATGAAAAATAATCGATTTTTTTTCGACGAATTGAATAAAAATTGTATTGAAAATAATTTAATCCTTTTAAAGTATTTTATGAAAATATAAAACTATTATTAAATTCTTTTGAGAAATTCAATTAAAATTGAATTAAAAATAATTGGATTTTTTTGAGAAAGTTAATTAAAATTGTATTGAAAATAATTGATTTCTTATAAAGAAAAAAAAAGAATTTTTTTTTAAAGAATTTAGGTAAAGTTTTTGTAAATAATTCAATTCTTTCAAGAATTTGTTTTAAAAATAAAAATAATTGAATTCCAGCGAAAAATTTTATTATGTAGGTATTCAAATTATGCAGTTTTTGCAAATTTTTTCGACAAATTGAATTTAAATTATTGTATTGAAAATAATTTAAATCTTAAATACAATTTTATTAAATGTCATTAAAAATAAATGAATTTTTTCGAGGAATTGAAATAAAATAAAATTAAAAATAATTAATAAATCTCTTGTGAAAGAATTTTATTACATTTTTTGAAAATAATTGAATTGTATTGAAGAAATTCATGAAAATTTTGTTGAAAATATTAATTTATTTCTTTTGAGGAATTCAATTTGAATTGAAAATAATTGAATTCTTTGATTCGAGAAATTTTATTAAAATTATAAAATATAATTGAAAAAATATTTGAAAATAATTGAATTCCTGCGAAAAATTTTATTATATGTATTAAATTAATGGAAATTTAGCGAATTTTTTTGAACGAATTTTATCAAAATTGAATTTAAAATAGTTCAATTCTTACATGACCTTAAAGTTTTTGAACGTTCAAATGAACGAAATTTATTTATTTCTTCGTCAAATTAAATTTTTATTATTAAAATTTTGCGTCACTATCAAACGAATTAATTATAAACTTTCTAAATGTAAAATTTGAGTTTTTAATTTTAATTCTAATTAGTAATCTATGAAAATATTTTTAATACAAAATATTTCGTTCATTTGAACGTTCAAAACTTTTTGTTCATATTCTTACATTGATTTTTGAATTAAAAAAAAATTATTCGCAATTAATTCATAAATAATTTTTCGATATTTTTTCAAGAACTAAATTGTTTAAAATAAATTCAATTTCAAATTTACATAATTTATTGGCCCGTGTAAATAAATAAATAAATAAATAAAATAAAAATAGAAAGATTGTTAAATTCTTCCACCTTTAATAAAAATAGAAAGAATTGAAAATTAAATTAAATCTTTTCTGCTGGACAATTTCAGTATTTTTGATAAAATTCCCTGACCTGTGTGTCAACTCTGCTCGTTTTTCTAGAAGTTCAGAACTCATTTATATTTAAAATTTATTTATTTATTAATTGTAATTTATTCGTGTATACTTTATTATGATTGTTATTATAAATTATTAAATTACTGAAAACGAGATTGCAGTCTATCAAGAAATCGGAATGAAAAATATCCATACATATGTACACAGGTATCTGTTTTCAAGCAAGATTTACAATTTGCAAAAAGAAAAAGAAGAAAAAAAAATTTGACGAGTATCAAAACCAGTTTCTCGAGTGAAAAAAAAACACTTTCCTCGATGCAGTCGAGTAACCACTGACCGATATACCCACTTATCGCCCACACCCTGATTCAACCAGAAATGTAAGACCCGCATTTAAATTAGAATTTAAATTCTAATCCTATATCTTATATATGTAGAAAACCTGGTATAAAGTTGTCTGGACACAAATTATACGTGGGTTCAAAGCACCTACGAAATTTATTTTTCCTAGTTGAATTCTATTTTTTTTTAATTCTTAATCTACATTTTCTTGAATTCATTTCAAAGGCGCGCAAATAATTATTTCACTTTGTTCGTATACGGTTAATTAGGCGCAGTCCTAATTAGTATAATTAGCGAATATTTTCACATCACACGTTGTATCTTAATGCAATATATATTATTTGTTTTTCCTTCTTCGAATATATATGTGTGTGTGTATATTTAAATTAGTATTTATCCTTATATCTGCGGAGGGAAAAAAAAGTGGAAAATAGTTTATGAAACTAACGACTAACGAGAGTTCTAAGAGCTGTTACTAGACTTGTTGCAATGTATGCAGACAGTATTTGTTTTCGGTTTGTGGAATTTACCGTTATTAGGTCTGTAATACAGTTTTTTATGAGAAAAGCACCGAGTGGTACGAGAGAACTCGAAATTAACATTTTCGTGTATTTTTTTGTTCTCTTTCGTTCTTTCTTTCTTTCTTTATTTTAACAATACAGAAATCGAACGGAAAATAATTTTTTTTTCTTTCTTAACTCGAAGTAATCATCTGTCATTAAAAATAAAGGCAAAATAAATGTTTATTGTCACGCGAAAAATTACAATTGTCATTCATTCTAAAACTTTTATTTTAACAAATTTTATTCATTTCATTCTTTCGTTTGTCTGAATTTTGCTATTTAATAGAACGATCACAAAAATTATAAAAAATTAAAAAAAACTAGACACAAAAATTTAATTTTGTTTTTATTCCAAAACATCAATAACTTCTTTTTTATAGAAATATTTAATCATTATTGTTCTTCCATAGGGAATTAAGATTTTTAAAAATTTCAAATTCAAACCTTTTAGAAATTTAATAACTTCTAAGAATATTATTAAAAAAACATGAAGAAAGCGATCACTCCGAGTCTTCGACTCGGAGTGATTATTATTATCTTATATAAGAATATTGTTACTCTAACTTCTTCGAAATTATTTCCATCATTTAAATTCAATTATTTTTAATAATTTTTTGAAAAAGTTCGTTGAAAATTTCCAAATCTATTTGTTTATATAATTAAATTTTACGAAATTTCGATTATTCGAAAATTCTTCAATTAAATATAAATTAGAAAATAAAAACTTCAAATAACTTGAAAAAAAAATTAATTCTGTAGAATTGTTAGTTAAAATTATGAAAAATTCCAAATTTCGAAGATTTTAATTCGAAATTCAATTATTTGAATACAAAAATAAATAATTTATTGAATAATTCAATGTTTTAGAAAATTTAATCCTTTCGACAAATTTTAATAAAAATAATTGAAATTTAGCGATGAGTTTTATTATTTATAAAAATAATTGAATTAATGGGAAGAAATTTAAAAAAAATTTGTAAATAATTGAATTCTTGTGAAATGGTTATTATTTACGAAAATAATGAATTTTTTTTAGTAGAATTTTATTACATTTCTTTTAAATAATTGAATTCTTTTGAAAAATTAATGAAGCTGAAGACCGAAGCGTTTTTAAAAACCGAAAAATCTAAAAAATCAACTTTTATTAGAAAATTCTACGAGAATTCAATTATTATGTACCAAAATAAATTATTTATTGAATAATTGAATGTTTCTTAAAATTTAATTCTCATAAAGAATGTTCTCAACGAATTATGAAATAATTGAATTCTTTGGACGAATTTTAATAACATTTTTAAGAATTATAACAATTTTCGAGGAATTTGAT